TTACATAAGGAGTCAGTGTGGAGTCTATTACCTCTTAATGGGCTGCTGTTAACCTTTCAGACCTTTAACACTAAAGAGAGAGAAAAAGAGTGAGAGTGAGTGAGAGAGATAACACACTCAATGCTAACCTTTCGAATTTTGGAGAGTATGAATAAGAGGAGAGATATAGAGCGATAGAGAGAGTGAAAGGACCCAGAAACGATGTGAGACACGGGGAAGAAAAGAAGAGCGCGAGAAGGACGAAGTGAACGCTCTGCCAGGAGAGCCGCTCTCAGGAAAATAACCTTTTTACTATATGGAGGATGGAGAGCTGCAATGAGAAATAGAGATGGAGAGAGAGCACCTGTACCAGCTCTGACACAATACTTCTCCGAATGACAGAGACCTATTGAAGACAGAACAGAACATTTTACGACCTGTCTACAATCATAATATAATAGCCTAATCAGTCTCATGCTCCAGCTTTCCCAGAAAGCTCCCACACAAATTTCTGAGGGACGTCATTTCACCATGCTTGGTAAAATGAAATATTCCAGTTCAGTTGGAGTGGTTTGAACTGATGAAGAGTGAAAACAATCTCAGAGAAGATTGGTTTGGAAAGCTTTTTTATTTTCATTTTCAGAAAATGTTGTCATTTTCCAGTCTATAAACTTCATTAAGAACTTCATACATAATTACAAACTTCGCAAATAGATTTCTACATTTCTTACATTACATTTTTTTTTCTGAAGAAAATGTAAGGTCCTTACTCACAAAATACAATGTTGGCATGACACTTTTTTCCCATGACTTATTGGGTAAAAAACCTACTTGCTAGCCAGTTAACTGCAAGTAAATATGTTGTGAAAATTTTAAATGGTTTAACACATTATATGCAAATTCATTACTATTTATAACAATTCATTACTATATATTATTTACAATGAAAACCAGTAAAAGGACATTCTCACAAGTCACTGTCACACATCACATATTATATTTTATATAAATCTTTTTGTTTCTTCTTATTTTTGTTATTAGTAATGTGCAGTTATTTTATTATTTTTAAAAATATTTCTCATAATTAACATTTCATTTTACAGCTATGAATAATTTTGTTTCTTCTTTTTTGTTACATTTTCTTCCACATTCTTGGATTTTCTGTCTAAAACTAAAATGTCTTACAAAAATAAGCCTTTTTTTAGGCTACGTAACTATTGTGCCTGTTTGGTTTGGCACCAAGGTTTGTTGTTGCACCCCTGGCTGCATGAACCGTTGGGTAACAGTCAGCTGTGGCTCATAGCAAATGGAAAGGGGGCGCTCGAGCACCCTTCTGAATCAAATGGGGCACTCTATACTGCCGTGCAAAGGCAAAAGACCGTAACTTCGATTTTTGTCGAAAATGAGTTATTGATATTTTTGGGACATTCAAGACATCCTTTATCATGTGCATAAGTATCTTGAGTCAATTTCGTTGTTTTTCTGAGAAAATAATGGGTCATCTCAACCGTAACTTCGAAAAGCCCCGGAGAAACCAAGGCAGAACACCGTATAACACCAGTTACGGCTCTTTCACTTTGTTTGGAACGCTCAAATTGAGTTACGGCGTTCTGCCTTTGTTTAGCCATGCGTCAAAATGAAGTTAAAATGAAGTTCACATCAATCCACAAGTCGTTCTTTTAGTTTAGGCTATTTAATACAAGTCAATATAAAAGCAATTATGCTATGTCTAGCATTATTTTACATTAATGAGCATAGCAAATAAACTGGTATCAACGGTACTCACATGTTTAACTTTTAGTCTGCTTGTTACGGTCAAAAAAATAAAAAAATAATACAGTCACATTACTATATGCAATAGCCTATATGGGATAGCCCATGATCACTAGATTTTATACAGGTGTTACTATAACGATTTTGTAAATGGTGATCAGCAACCAAATATTGATAATGTGGAAGTTACTGCCTTTTGCCTTGGTGTGACTTCTCACGTTTTGCAGACAAAGCAAAGGCAGAGTATATTAACTTCAAATAGGGGTAAAAATCAAGTTTGAGCTCACAATTTTTTAATGTAGATCATTTTCATTACTAGAACATCTGATTGTTACATTTCCAGTGTCCTACCTATAATTAATTTGGCTGGACAAGTAAATAACCTTAAAGTCATTGTTCTCAGTTTCACACTCTAGCGAGTTAAGGTCTTTTGCCTTTGTGGGCAGGACTGCGATTCACATATCTTCCTGTCATTTTCCTTCTCCCACTCCTTCCTGAAATGTGCTGTTCCTGGTTAAATAGCTTTTCTCTCCACTCTAGTGAGAAGAACAGCAGGACACTTCTCTGCAAATAGTCAGTCTCCAGTCAAATCACCAAGTAAGTATTTGTCAAGGTTTATTGCACCAAAAAAGGTCATAATTTAGTTTTACGTGTCCATTTCTACTTTCTCTTTGACCCTTAGAATTAAACAAAACGTTTTTCTACTGTACCTTTAAGACTTCTAAAGGTAAATTACTTCTGTTATGATTGGCTAACCTCTTCACATGTGAACTGAGTAAAGGTGTGGTCACGTTTATCATGGTTCAGCAAATTTTTGTGGACAAAATCCAGTTATTTCAGTAAGAGTTCTTGCGATTTATTCATGCAGATTTCACAGCTGCTTCAAGTGGATTCACTGAGTTGACCAACTTCTGCGCAAGCTGTGCTTCATACATCGCTAGTCTATTGATAATAGTCAATGGGCTTTTTTTGTCCACGAAATTTTGCTAATATGTGACCCTGGACCACAAAACCAGTCTTAAGTCGCTTGGGTATATTTGTAGCAATAGCCAAAAATACATTGTATGGGTCAAAATTTTAGATTTTTCTTTTATGCCAAAAATCATTAGGATATTAAGTAAAGATCATGTTCCATTAAGATATTTTGTAAATTTTAAAGGGGTTATATGATGCTTTTTTAAAGATCATTATTTTGTGTATTTGGTGTAACAGAATATGTTGACATGCTTTAATGTTCAAAAAACACATTATTTTTCAAATACTGTACATTATTGTAGGTCCTCTATGCCCCGCCTCTCTCAAATGCTTCGTTTTCTACAAAGTCCCTCCTTCTGACAAGCGCAGTCTGCTCTGATTGGCCAGCTGACCCAGTGCATTGTGATTGGCCGAACACCGCAAGCACTCGTCGGAAATGTAACGCCCCTTACCATAATCGTGAGCTTCATCTTTCAAAATAAATGTAAAGACAGTAAATAATGTCATTAGTTTTACCATCAGTTCAAGCCCGAAAGGGGAACAGAGTCGTGTGACAGACACAGTGATGAAGCTGGTATGTGTTTGCAGTACACAAGCCACGGTTAAGACAGCTGACTCCACTTTGATGTGACGCTGTCTCTCTCTCTCTCTCACAAACACGCGCATGCGCGCGCGCGCACACACACACACATGATGCGCAAAACTCCGCATTTGAACAGTCAATAGCAAATACTTAAACTAATAACAAAACAGTAGCTGATTCAGAAGCGCCAGATTGTCATAGCAAAGTCAGAATTACCTCCTCTCCTAGGTTCACGAAACGGTCGTCCATAAAATGCATTGCTGTTCTGTTGTAAGTAATCTTAAAGATTCCTAAATGCATCTACTTTCAGAAGGCCAAATAAAGTGCTTTTGCTTTCGCCTAGAAACACACAGCGTCTCCCTGACATAGCTGCTTCAACACTAACTGCGGTTACTGAAACCACGCCTTCTTTCTTTGCGTGCACATTTGGGCCGCATTATGCAAATATTTCCACATAGTGAGGTAGATATGTGGGGGCGTGTTAGAACGAGCCATTTTAGGGGGGCGTGGCAGAGTCTTAACTTTGATAAAGAATATCTCTTTGGTTTTGAGACTTTAGTCTTTGCAACTTCAGGGATCTTATCTATGCACAATCAGCTTGTAACACTCCAAAGAGAAAGGAAAACTTGAAATCGCATCATATGACCCCTTTAAGACTGGTTTTGTGGTCCAGGGTCACATATGACCACAGCTTAACAGCGCTCCTGCCAAGCTAAATACAGAATAGGCATTGATATGTAAAAAGTAGGCTGTCGTGTGTTCATATTCTTTTTAATCACAACCATATCCATTACATTATGAACAACGGATACTTATGTGCTAGTTCTTGATGCCTTTACCATAACCAAGACTAACATAGGACAGGAGCTGACAACTAGAGAATCTGACAGCCCTATGAAATTCTTGAGCGTCTTGAGAGGATCTTCCCCTTATGATGTTGAATTTACCTAAAGGACATTCATTTGTGGAATGAGCTGTACGTGACATCTAACCCTTCAGTCATGCTAATAGCTCTCCTTCATGGCCTTTCCAAATCCATCAGCTAGTCTAGAGTGCTATTTAAAACTCCCTCACTAGCCACTGCCCCGAACCCTGGCATGCACATACTCTAATCTATCAGACATACCAATTGGATGTGTATACTAAATGCAGGCATCCTCATCTGCTTTCTGCTTAGACTGGATAATGCAGTACACACACACCCTAAATTCCTGTGCCCGTGAACTGTAAAGTCTCTCTTGCATGCCTGGAGAGAAATCTGCTCATGCCTCTATCGACAAACTCAGCAGGAAATGCCAAGAGCAGCTTTTCTACAAATCCCTGCTCCCTGTGGATTCTGACGCACTTGGGATGCGCTCCAATAACGCGCATTGTTTTTTTGTGCTAAATTCTTCTACTACTGTATGTATCTGGGTGACATGATCTATTAAAAACAGTGTTTTATGCTTGATAACACTGTTTTAAAGTGGCCTTTTTAGAAAGATCTTAGCCATTCCTTCTCTAATTCTATGACTTAGCCTTGAGGATTTGGCTTTAGGTGAGTGGTGCACGTGAAGCCTTGTGGTGTCTGTATGTTAAGAGACTAGGCCAAGGAGACTTATGCTGCACACGCATATGTAGCCATACACATATTCTGAGTAGTAGTTCTGTTTAGATGGAGTTTCTTCTTTTGACAATTTTAAGGTCATTTTCCTGCCATTGGGCCAGCAGTAAAGTATTTTTGTTTAAACAATGTACATGTACACAACACAATGGTTCTCAACCCTGACTGTAGGTTTCTCAGCTGTAAAGACAAGGTTACACAAACTATCGGAGCCAATATATTAAAATAAGCAACTAAAATTAAATAATTATATTTCAGGATTCCATAAGTTTTAAGAGCTGAATGTTCTTCAAGATTCCCACTCTTTTTAACCCATGAATTTAAATGACTTGTTCAGTTGTTTGTGATTAAGGGCATATCAATAGCTTTCTGAGACATGCAAACCTTTATTAAAGCTTGTTTTGACTTATTTTAAATCATTTAAGTCATCTTGAGGCCCCCTAGTGGACTCCGGCCCCCTTGGTTGAGCATAAGTACATTAACGTAAGACAAAGCCTCCAGTTATGTACATTATGTGTGTGAGGAAAATCAGAATTTAAGTTGTTATTTCCCTCCACATAGCTCTCAAACCTAATTTAAATTCACTGATGTTCAGTGTTGGGTAAAGTTACTTTTGAAAGTAATGCATTACAGTATACTCAATAAAAAAGTAACTAATTGTGTTACTTATTTACTTTTTATGGAAAATAATGCATTATGTTACTTTTGCATTACTTTTTGTCTTCTGGGGAAGGCTTGCTTATTTGTTTTTTAATAACAAAACCCCCAAAAGTTATATTTTTCTGCCTCTGCACCTCACTCCCAATTTCTCTCAACACGGGGACAGGAATAAATGGGAAAACAAAGTAACTTGCCATACTTATTTGAAAAAGTAACTCAGATATTTTGTTGTAAATTTAAAAGTAATGCGTTACTTTACTAGTTACTTGAAAAAAAGTAATCTGATTGCGTAACTTGCATTACTTGTAATGCATTACCCTCAACACTACTTATGACTGTATAAAATCACACATTAAAATTGCACAAATAAAATTTGACAGCTACAATGAATGGGAATAATTATATGATTTTAGTAGACTGGCAAGTCATATAGACTCATCGTTTGGAAACAAGCCTTTTGTTTGTCTTTTTGTTGTCTGCGGAAGAAAGTAAGTCATACAGGTTTGATGAAAATGAAGTAATGAAATTTGATGATGTAAATTAAAAAAGATGTAAATGATACTTTATTTTTAAGTGTAGTACAGGTACTACCTACTCATGGTAGCCGCCATGTTGAAATCACATGACCAGCTGACATTATGTAGATTAGATAATATCCTTTTCAAACAGACTGAAATGTATTCAGCACTATTACTGATGATGTCCAAGACAATGCATGTGTAGCATAAAATAAGCAGTGTAAGAAGTAACGTTGTGTTTTTCTCTGTTCTCTGTCTCCCTCCCTCTTCCTGTCACAATCCTCAGTAAATGGAGTGCCGAACAGCCAAATCACTACCCCCAAATCTGCAAAATCCTCCAGTTCCTCCCCGACCAGCCCCCGCAGCATGCGCAACTTCAAGGTAAACCCGTTGGCATGGCAACAGGCTTCCACTGTGCTGCTAATCAGTTCACTAGCAAAACATGGCGAGTTTTAGAATAGATTATTTCTTCATCAAGTCAAAAATAAGATCAGGCTTCTGGATGCTGACTCATGGATGACAGCATCTTAACACTCTCACTCATGATTAAGGGTTTAGTGAGGCTGCCGAAATTATTGCCTCACAACAAATTGAAGCAGCAGTTGTAGTGCCCCTACATTTCTTCAGGTTAGAGTGATGACACTTTATAACTTAACCATTTCCTATACTTAAGAAAAAAATACGGTTCAGGAAAAATGATTTTGAATTAGAAGCTATGTATTTTTTTTCTGCTGTCTAAATTTTTCATATTTTTGATTATATATACAAGCGTTTACCTTGTTATTTCTTTGTTGATTGTTAAATGGTAACATGAATGGCATGTCAGTGATATCTCTGGTAGCTAATATACAAGATTTTATGAAGGCTGTTCGGTTGGGGCAATTTCTGAAATAAAAGTTGAAATATTGAATATTTAAATATATGAAGTGAACATTGTTTCATTAAAGTGTTTAACCAAAATATGTTCTTGGACTTATAAGCTTATCAGTATATAATAAAAAGTATATATTATGATAAAAAGTATAATATTTTATGTTTTGTTATATAAGAATCTATGTCCACTTTTAATACATTATATAAAACTCTGCAGTGATATTAACAGCAATGATATTTATTTTAGGGACAGTGGGTTAATTTACTTTTTTTCTGTTACAGTTGCCTTTGTCATTTATTGTGTAAAAATTCAATAGTTTGTTCAAATCACTCACAGCATAAATATTTTAATGGTATTGTTACTATTGTAACAAATATAAAGTACGTTTCTTACAGGCAGGTAGGTTTGCTAAGCAATTAATATATATATATATATATATACATATATATTCATATACATATGACCCTGGACCACAAACCCAGTCTTAAGTGTAAATTTTTCAAAATTGAGATTTATACATCATCTGAAAGATGAATAAATAAGCTTTCCGTTGATGTATGGTTT